GCAGGCGCAGGACTTTGTGGACCTTGAAGTGCAGATTTCGTGGCAGGCGCAGGACTTTGTCGATGTGGAAGTGCAGAGTTGGTGGCAGGTGCAGGACTTTGTGGATGTTGAAGTGCAGAGTTGGTGGCCAGTGGCAGGCGCAGGACTTTTGTGGACCTTGAAGTGCAGATTTCGTGGCAGGTGTAGACTTTGTGGATGTTGAACTGCAGTTAGACAGATAGAAAGATAGAAAGTTACATTGATCGATAGATACATAGATAGATAGATAGATAGAGATAGATAGATAGATAGAGAGATAGAGGAGGCATTTGCTTGGTTAGAAAATTTTGCACCGTGGAGTTCACCTTAAAATGATTGATTTCGTGGCAGGCGCGGGTGTCGGGGATGAAGTGCAGATTTCGTGGCGCGGGGGGGGTTGGGGGGGAGCGCAGCGCCCCCCCCAGCAGCACACCAGATCCAAAGGTGAGCAGCTCGCGCTTGCTTGCTTGCTTGCTTCCTTGCTTGCTTGCTTCCTTGTTTGGTTTCGTCTCTGCAAAGCGAACAAAAGGAAAAGCAAAAGCAAAAAAGAGAAAGGAGAACAGCTGCGAAAAAGAAAGAAAAAAAGAAAGAAAGAAAGAAAGAAACAAACAAAGAAAGAAAGAAAGAAAGACGAAGGACCAAGGGACTAGCGGACCAGTGGACCAGCGGACTGCAGGGGACCAGCGGACCAGGACCAGCGGACCAGAGGACCAAAGGACCAGCGGACCAGCGGACCAGAGGAACGGCCACCTACACGACTGGGAATTCCAAGGGATTTCATCGCACAACGAAAACTGATTCAGTAAGTATATATTTTTTGATTCGGTAAATATTTTTCTTTGATTCGAAGTTTTTTTGATACCTATGCCGGGTGCATGGGGGGTGGCCATCCACATAAATTGCCAAGGGATAAGGACACAGCTGGATAATGTCCTGTGGCCTTTCAGGCATTAGGTTTAGAAGAGGCTGTGCCAGCAAATGATGATCCAGAAGTACTCCTTCTGGGAGCTGGTTCACACCAAGCTTGCAAAGCGTCATGTCCAAGTCAATGGGGTAGTGCACTTGGGGTGTGCTGGCTTGAGCCTGGGGGTTTGTATGGAAACAAATGACCCCTGCTCAATTGCTTCAGGGCATCTCTGTGGAGCAGGCGATATGCTGGGTTGAAATGGGGGGTGATCTCCACCATTCCTCCAACAGCTCCGTTCCACAGACCTGGCAAGAAGTGACCAGTCATGTCCACAACTTCCAAGGGCAGCATCCCTGCCAGAGGCATAGCAACAAGAAAGCTGAGACGACCTTGCACTTGAAGCTCGAAAATGGCTACATACAAATGACCACTCAGCATGCAACTCTCCTACAAGCAATGAAGTAGGAACAGCTGGCCTTGCGCTTTATCTTCTTCCTTACTCATTTCTTATTAGTTTGTCTTTTTAAATGTATTTAACGTTTAAAGTAACAGTCGCAGTCTCAGCACGAAAGTGAAGTGAGAAGAAGTTATCTAAAGTGCTTGTGTGTAACCTGCTTCTTATTGTCTTTTGCATTTGTTGTTGCTAATGTCTTTGTTTATTTGCTTCTAATGCTTGTGCTTGTGTGCCTCTTGGCTTCCCTGTCCCTCTGCTGCCTTCTTCTTTCCAGCCTTCACCTGCTTGCTTTCTTTGCTGCTCCTGCCCCCCCCCATTCTAAGTGCATAGGCTTGGGGGTTGCCCGTCCACATGTAAGCATTCTAAGTTCCAGTCCGTGACTGCGAATCTATGCCAGTGGTGGAAATCAGCAGCTTAGAACTGAACTTAGGATACCGGACTGAAACTTGGAATGGGAAGTCATCAAAAGCTTTCATGAATGTTTGAGACATAAAGAGAGGCATTCTATGTCTTCATCGCCTCAATAGACTCATGTGTTAAGTTTCAGAACCTGAGAAGAGGCATTCTAACTTTTGCCACTGCACCATATGACCATATGCATGTTTTGAGGGGTTGCCGTTCGATCCGGTCGTTTTTTCCTTCTGCGATCCACAACCCCCCCCATTCTAAGTTTCAGTCCGGGAGTATGTATCCTGTATTTATGCGTGCTCTATTTATCAACAACACATGTTTAAAAAATGCGGTCCGCGGGAAGCTGTCGTGACACTGGCCTTTATCCACTCATGCGCAAGTGCTTGTTCAGCACTCATTCGATCAGCCACGTCCACCACCAGGAGCTTCTTCACCTGAAAGATGGTTAAAACTGTTGTCACTGAGGATCAACCCCCAGCACCCTTGGCAGTCCTGCACTGTCTACCAGTGGTTTGGTTTACCATCGTCGTGCAATACCCGCCTTTCCTGCCCCTTCACTTCACCATGGGGTGGGGTCGACAAAGGGTTTGTACACGATTGGGAGATCACAGCCGCATGTTGTCAGGAGAGCGGAAAATCAAACAAAGTAAGAAGGAGCAAAAAACACAACACAAGGACCAAAGCACCATGGTCGTGGGGTATTATTTGGATATCTGACCAGACCTCCCCTTGTGCAAAATGCTAATCAGTGGTCTCTGCTCTTTCCGGTTGGAAGAGGGATACTCCAACCCTGGACTCTAGACAGTGGCTTCGGCTTGTCTTCAGAGTTCTAGTGTGTGAACCCAGATCTGCAGGCTTACCCTGTGCATGATATGTGATACCAAGCATATTCGTATTCCTATCGTTTGGCAATTTCAGTGGGAGGATCCGGTCATGACCAGCCTTTGAAAAACTCATGCACCGCTTCTCCCTTTCTGTGGCGAAGCCCCTGGTCTCCAAGCCACGAAGTCCTTGGCACTGCGGGAGATGCACGTCCACTCCTGCACGGTCCACCCGATGGCTTGCTCTTGTCGAAAAAGCAGCTCCGGGGCTCCAAGCAGATGGCATGATGGCATGGCAACTGAAACACATTTGGCTCCAAAAGCTGACCTTTGTTTGTGCCTTCTGTGCCTCAGAACTGCTACTCCAAGTGCGAGTCTCCTCGTCTTCCATGTCGTACATGCCAGACATAATGCAAGTGATCTGGTGGTATTCAGACCCTGCAAAGGGCATGCATCCAGAGAGTAGGATGTAGACTATGACACCAAGACTCCACCTCAGTCTCACGGCTCCAACACACAGTCTGACTGCGCCAACGAGAACTCTCCGAAAGGCTGCATGACTGCATGCCGACGGAAGCTTTCGGACGGATGGTCACCTTGAAGTGTTGGTGATGCTGCCAGACGGATGTTCATGGTAGAGCCACCAAATTTGTGCAGAAATGTGGAAAACGACCAAGCAATTGAAAAGCTGAATTTGAAAACTGGTGTTCCATAATTGCAGCTTGGTGGCAGATCACATTTGGAACTGTAGGTTTTGTTCAGCACCTGCGAGCTGCAGCCAATCCATGGAGAACTTGACATGGTGTGAATGCTTCGCTTCGCATCACGAACAGAATGTGAGCATATTTGGAGAATACAAAATTCATCAGAGTCGGGCCAGAGTCATAAGTTCTGATGAGATTCTCCCCCAGCCCGCTGTCCGGTTTCCCATCCAACCAGCAATGGCGTGCAGGACTAACTTCGCCCAAAGCAGAAACGCCAGACCGGTAAACGCTCTGCAGTCCACACTTCGTCAAGTTCGTCCCAGATGTACGACGTTGCCTCCGGCGCAATGTAGCCCAAGGTGCCGCAGCTCGCCTCCATCTTGGTATTGGGCTCCCAGACTTTGCCTCACGGTTTGACTTCACTCCCTCCGCCCATTAGTTTCCCTAAACTTTTGGAGACAAATCATTAGTGCGAGCGCTTCTTCAAGGAACCTGGAGCTTCCTTGAAGAAGCGTGAGCTATCCTGGACGAGCGACTCCCTAGCTTCAACTAGCTACCTAGCTACTACTACCACCCCCTTTAAAACAAAAAGATTAATTCAAGTCAAGTCCGGCGCAGATTACATGTCTCCTGTGGCCGCCTGTGCGCACAGAAAGTGCGACCCGACCACACCCCTCTCAACCCCAGGTACTGAGGCCAAAGTCAATGAGCTTCAGGTGGTCTGTGTCTTTGCGGGCGTACATGAAGTTTTCAAGCTTGATGTCCTCAGTTGGCCAAGTCACCGCCGAGACCACCCTTTGTTGGTTTCATCCAAACAAAAATGGAGCCCAAAACCACACACCAGATTGGGATGAAGAACGAAAACAGTTCATCCACGCGAGCGCCGTGTTCAGTTTGTTGCATCCACTTGCTTGACTCCAGACTTCTAGATCCCTGGCTGTTTCCACAGTCAATTGCTAAACCTGACAAATGCAATTTGGCCTAAACAAATGCTTGAAATTGTGATGATGCGTCTGTTCGACACACCAGCCCCAGCCCTTTCCAAGTGGACAGAAGCAGGGTTGATTCTTCCATCATTGCAACCTGTGACATACTTTCAGTTCGATACCCGTTGAACGCAGCGTCCCCTCTCTCTTCTGACACGCTGCCCGGTGAACGATGCCATGGCTGTGAATGTAGTTCCTCGGGTCAGTCAACGCATCATTCATTGTAACAGGTCTGTGAAGGATGATCAAAACCGTGTCCTTAAAAGCCATTGATACTGATTTCTCACAATAATCTAGTAAAAGTGTAGTCGACGCCAACATTTGAGCATGTTGGTGTCAATCCAAAGGTACAGTAAAGTTGACCATCCCTCATGTAATGTTCTGTGTTCGTGAAGGGCCATATGACATATGACTCAACTTCAATGAAAAGCAAGTGGCAAAGCCAGCAGCATCTGCCAGGCCGTGTGAGCTGCGTCCTTTTCGGGAAAGACCTTCAAAGTTGCAAACCAGTCATCCCTGAGTCATCCCTCGTCATCTGTGAGTCGCTGCATTCTTCACTTTCACTGTCTCAAGAGTAGAGCTGCGCTGGAAAAAAGAACACTATCTAATTGTGGCCGGTATTGTATTTGGCATTGAAAATGTCCACTAATCCATGACCGTCATGACCCAACCCCGCACCTCTCGGTCCATGACGCGTGTGAAAAGCTCTCCACCTTGTGGTCTGCTGGTACGTGGGTGGGGAGTGAAAACGGAGCTTTTCGGAATGTATTCTATAGGGCCTTTCTGCCTCTGCACCATTTTCAGGACCTTCAACCTATGTGTCGTAAGGGAACTACCAAGGTTCTGGCCTTCCATGCACTCCATCACCAGACTCAAGCGCCCTTCAGTCTCATAGACATCCATCAGGCGTGCTACCCGTGGATGGTCCATGCTCAAGAAAAGCTCCTTGGATGTAAAGCGCAGGACCGGCTGGTTGAACCACGGTAGGACATCATCCCTGGGACTCACTTCACCATCAAGCTACTTTACCAAGGCGCTTCTCCTTGAAATTGAGAGTCTAGCAAGGATATATAACATCTGGAACCTAAACATCAACAAAAGTGCCCCGGAACCACCCAGTTTAGATTTGCCTCGTATATAAGATAGATTGGCAGCCTTGTGGTTTGTGTCATTGGCGAAGAAACTCGAACCGCCGGTGGGGAAAGGAGAGCGGAGAAAGACGTTATGCAAGAACAATAAATTCAATATACTATACACTGTCCACCGGGGCGACGAAATGCAGCCCGAGAGGCTACTTCATTTTCCAACTCTCTTTTGGCCTGCAAACGATAAAACAGAAACTTTCGAGAGTTCGCGGAGCCTCTGCAAAGTAAGATCTTTAAACAAGCTACTAGGGGCTCCTGGCATCGCTACTAGGAGCAAGGACGCTATTATATAGTTGCATCCTCCTGGAGTCACCGATTGTGCCGCATGTTTACCCTGCTGACCTTTGTTGCTCGGAAAAAGAACCCATCGGCGTGTTGCTCGGGAACGCCTTGTCGGAGATTCCCACCAGGCTCAGGCACTTGACCGCGGCGGTGGCGCCGGTGGCTTTGCTGGTGGCCTACTGATCCAAGCAAACCAGGAAGGTCTGTCTTAGCACCACCACGTATTGGAAAATATCAGGAAAGACTTGAATGGGGTCTGGTCTTATTACATCTTCAAAAAAGAAGTCCAACCCACTGTGTTCATTACCAATAAACTTCAGACTCTCAAGGACAAAAACCCATGCCAACCAACACCAAGCAAAATGATGCAACAACCTTGTGCAGCGAATAACATCACAAAACATGTCGAGTCAATTTGGGACACCCCTTGTGTACATTATATAAATAACTCTATTTTAGCAACTTTGAAGGAACCCTCAGCCAGAAAACTATCTATCCACCCCTTCCACTGCACCTGCAGTACCTTTCCGCTGCAGCCAGTGCCCAAGACCTCCGGTGTCACATGCAGCTCAGCTCAAGTCAAGATCAAACACACGTAGTTTTAGACCGTGAAAAGACTGGGTTGTACGCGTGCTACTACTATCCTACTTTTATCGCCCATACTTACGTACACCATGTGCGTGCAACAGCCAGTCCCAGTCCAAGTGCATCCAATGCACCTTATCTCCCAGCTCGTAGTCATCTTGCAGCTGTCGTTCAAGTGCCCTGTGATATCGCCCCACGACTGCAGGAACCCCAAGCCGCTTCTCAGCACGCACCAGTGAGTCGTTGGAAACCATGAGGCCGCACCCGAGGGCATTAAAATGGACTCAAGCTAGGTGAGAAGTTGTGAACTATCTTGTGCAGCTGCAAAGGAATATGAATAATTAATCTTAAAAAAGCTTGGTGCTGGAATGGGCCTTCAAGAAGCGGACGAAATGACACAAAAGCTTGGCCACAAGATCTCATTGGAGCTGAAAAGCTATATAATATCAAGAAGGCATCAGGAAGGCAAAAAGGTAATACTTCAAGCACCCCTCAAGTGTCCATCCTGCAACTTCTACAAGGCAACGAATTCATCCACAAAGCTGCGCCTTCTGACCAAGGTCTGCCTCACATGGGCTTCAGGATCAAACATGTCATGTGCGAACTCCAAGCACCACTATACGTGTCGTTTTGACCATGACGTCCTAGTTCATTCCTCATCAAATGAGCCCGGTTCCACCCAGTTCAAACGGCTCAGCGGCGCACCTTCGGGGCTCTGCGAAAGGCATTCATCACCTGAGAGGCGACGGCTTCGCAGCCGCCGGGCCGGGCCCACTCACTCCATGAGGCAATGCAGTGAGCTCGTGACAGGCAGGCTCTTCACATCGTTTGGGGTCTGCCAGCAAAAGCAGCAACCAAATCACTCTGAAGCGGGCTGCTTACTCGACTCCAACAGTGGAACTGTTGCACGTGTTCCAGCAGTTCTTACAAGCCCTTTGACTTCGATCTGGATTTGACGTCTGTGTCTTCGCCTCTTCGCAATAGGCGGGTGCCTCTTTTGTGGGTGGTGTGGACATAGCCACTTCCTGGCCATGCGAAAACGTCCTGGCCTCGCTTCTTGCGAAAAGGCGACTCCCCACCACTCCTTGCCTCATCAGAATCTACAACCTTGGAATGCGTTCATCTTTGCAAATCGTCTTGTAGCTCGCCGGGCAAACAGTAAATCTGTGAACTGCACATTGTTCACAAAACCAGTCAAACAAACTGGCAAACTGCTCAAAAACTGCCGTGAGTTCCCATGCACTTTGTCCACTCTTCAGTCGAACGTGTGGACCGTGCGGAGCCTTCTCCAGGCCCGCGCGTCTTAGAAACCCGGGTTGCTGGGCCAGCTGACGTCTCTGCAGCCAGCACATCTCATCGATGATTGAAAATGATGGGGCCAAGCAACGGGATACAAAGCAGCTAGACGGGAAAAAGCGCCAAAGTTGGTGCCAAACGAGAATGTCCTTCGCGAGGACTTTTACAATGTGAATTTGTGGAGCATCTCCAGGAGGACTTGTACCAACACACAAGGTCCAGCGGAGTCTGCCCAGCCGCTCAGGCATTCAAAACCTGCGAGGTAAAGGCCTGTGCTCGTGAGAGCACCAGCACCTTGAAAACCTTGATTGAATTCAAGCACATTGATCTGGGCTTTGTAGGACACCCTGAGCTTACACCATGCTGAAAGCTTTCGTGGACCAGGTAAAGAGCAGGTCAGAAACCATTGGTTTAGGAGAACCCTGAATGCAACCTCAGGGTGTTATACAAAAGACCTTTGCTTAAACTTGAAACCAAGAGCCACAGGGGGTGGGTCAAGTGTTCAAGGCAACCTCACAGAAAGCGCCAATAGCGCCTAGCATGATGCTTTTAGAGAAAAACAAGGCCCCTTCCCCCTGACGCCTGCCAAGTGACGACTTTGTGACACTTGGGGTGTGTTTCACTGCAGACTTGTACAAGCCGACAATGTCCGCACATGCAGTTTGAAGTCAATCAATGTGCCCTTCTGTGGTTCCTTCCTCTGGTGGGAAGACCTGCAAGGGAAGTTGCATGTTTGCGCTCCCCCAAAATCTGTTGAGGTCAGTGAACACAATTCCTTAGCGATTTCCAGCGGGACTCAGGCACATGTACGATGATCCAATGCGGCGCATGATTTTGGGACTTGAACTCGTGTCTCCCTTTATTGCGAGACTGTCCCCATTTCCATTCTCAACTGGGCCTTTTTGATCAAGTTCCCAATGGCCGAAAAGTAGACTCTGCCAAGCTGCTTCGCATCTATGCATTTGCAGCCTGACAATCCAGGATCTCTATCCATGCCCAATCTCTCGCAAACAATGACAATCAATTATATGATATGTCCAGTTTCTTTGAAGTATTGGCCGCATCCATGGAAGCACCACCTATGCCGCACCCGTGCCTCCCGCCGTGTCATCCCCACGCACTGTTGGTGCAAACTGGGGATTGCCTTCACCTTAGCAAGGCTTGCACCTTGTTTCCTGCACTGCAAGACTTCACTGAGCGGCAACTTTTTAATTTAGGGATATCCAGAATCTGAAAGGATCTTGTCTTGAAACATCCAAGGAAAAGTGGAACCGAGTAGCCACCAAACGGCCATAGCGTGATGCCCAAAGCTTCTGCACCTGCGTGTGATCCGCCTTAAAGATTGAAACGCCGAAAAGTTGCCCGGCCTTCGAAGAAAGAAGTGCAATGGCCCGTTCAGAGTCCTGGATGGGAGATTTTGGGGAGCGGCAAGTACGGGACAATGTCTTGAAGATTAGCCTTTGGACCTACTCCTACTCAGTGGCTAAAGTAGCAGTGGAGTCCTCTTGTGACAAGAGTGGCAAAGCCGCCAGCACTGTATGGTGGCTATGTCGACCACGGGCAATGTGGGTAAACTGCGGCACCAGCGAGCGGGCCAAGGCAACCTCGCCAACTTGGCCAGATATTGAATGCTCTTATATTAAATATAACATTCACTGAGGTTTATCTGCGATTCTATCAACTCTATCAACCCAAGCCAAGCCCAAGTATTGTTGTTCTTGGGCTTTTTCATGTCGACTGGATCAAATCCGCTCGTCCAATCCCCTCCATTGCCATGCACCGTACCTTCTGCGGCGCGTGCAGCAGAGCTTTCTGCAGGACTTGGGTGGCGCTCTCGTCATTGCCCAGGTCTCCCGCCCCAAGCAACACTTCACCCAAACGACGTCGCTGCGCTTCCGTACCTGAGATACCGGTAGAAGGCACTACGACTTAATATAAGTATGATAATGCATGAGAGCTGAAACTGGTGGCAAAACTCATGCAGTTCTCAGCGTGGAGTAGATTCGCTAGCTACAAAAACTTACAGCACAAACCAGTAACCAGTACCTCACTCAGAGTTTCTTCAAGAGCCGATGCTTTTTCCAAGGATCGAATTACCAGATGCATTCTCAAAGGTAAACGCTCTGCGGCTTAGTGGCCAAAGTCGAAGATCTCTTGCATCACCTGGCGCTTGCCCAGTGACACCAGAGCGAAAAGCTGCTTGCTTCAACCGCAAACTATAATCTATATACAGTATACAGCATGTGCACACAGTCGGGAACGACATCGGACATCGCAGGCACTGTTCGCTCTGCGCTCTACAGCATCGCTGGGGCTCGGGCAAAGGTGCCGTAGCTGTGCCGCACCAAGGACAGGGCCTCGGAGAGCAAGAGCTGAATGATGCCTGCGCCAGTAAAGACCAGAAGACCAGAGAAAGCAATCCCAAACAAAAGCAAGTTTGGTGACACCATCAGAGAATTTGCACGGTCGAACTCCATGCAGAGGGAGCTGGGCAACGATGTTGAATATCAATGTCAAAGTGCTGAACTGTGCTTCCCAAATTGCGTCTGAATGTAGTTATGTAGTTCATCTCAAACAGAGTAAAAGGCAGACATTGCCCTCATGTCAGGTTCAGCATATCCTATCAAACGAAAAATGGCCTCCCATCTGTTGGCTTTGACAATGCTCCAAGAGACCTCCAGGCTTTGCGGCCGGAGAAAGACGTCAAAATTACCACTTGATGAACTTGGTGAGGTGAGACACGAACACTTCTTCTCCCCTGAGTGCTTCAGTAGACAAGCGGCGCTGCAAGATACGGCAGCCATACTGATGACGTGCCAAAGCCGGCACCTCTTGTGGATCCTGGAGAATCATCAAAATGGAGCTGTTCTTCCATGTTCAAAATCCAAAGCATGTCATGGGTGTCAAGGCCACCACTAGCACCTGCATGAGCTCATCGATAATGAACTGGCACGCTTGAGGACCTCAAGCCAGCCGTGGAAGTTGAGTCCCCTGAAACCTCACCCTCCGGACGACAAAAAGTGATAAAGAATGGAGATCAAGGAAAACCATCTCAATCCATAGATAAATAGAGGGAAGCTATCCTCTGACACCCTGTACTTCCAAGGCCTGTTCCATCTGACTCAGCCTGGGCTTAGCCGCTTCTGACCCGAAGCACCCTCAGTGGTTACTTCAAACCTCTTGATTTGGTTCCCCAGGACACCTATCGAATCTGTTTCATCTGAAATCATCAGCTGCCTTATATATATATATATCTGTTCTTTTCTTTTGAAATCTCCAAGACGCGCAGCACGTGGATGATCTTCTGGAGGACGTAGTTGGCGCAGGCGCTCCGCGCCGCTGCAAAGATGCGGCCCCGGAGCTCCGACGCCAGCTGCGCGCGCTCGGCGTCGCTGGCAGCGTCCAGGCTCGCCTGGACGTGGCGGCAACCCTTGGAGCGTTGGGACAAGTCCCAGACGCGGCCAGAAATAGAGCCCTCCAAGGGTTCACCTCAGTTCAGCTTTTCACAACGTACTCTGGAGTTCAAGTTGTATTTTACATCTCCCTGTTTTAATACCACCTTTGACTGCTTGCTGGTCAATTGCATGATTTGTACTGATCAAGAACCAAAGCTTTGCCGAGTGGCCAAGCTCCGAGTCGATCGATTCAGAGCTTTGTCTCGAGAGTGGCAGGGAAGTCTCTGATTCCGAGGACAAGGAGCTTTGCTTGGCAATGGTAGGACTTGCTGACGGCGATGGTAGGTTGACTGCTACAACTGTAACTGGCACCAGCAAGGCATTTGAGAAACCCATGAGGGGCATCTGTACCGCCGGCATGGACACAGGCACTGCCGACATGGGCATAGCCATCTGGGGACTTGACATGAGCATGGCCATCTGGACAATGATCGGGAGATCTGGCCTCAACCCTTGAGTCAAAACAGCTCCTTGATTGAAGGTTAAGGTGCTTTGTACCTATGCAAACAAAGTCAAGTGTGGGAAAAAAAATAACATATAAAATAGATATTCCAGCTTCAAAGCAACCGTCTCAAAATCCCCAGTGTCTATTGTCCATGTACAGGGTTTAGTGAGCTCACGCGGGCCTCGAACGATTGAAAGCTAACTGGACATATTCTTCTGACAAGAAGCTACTAGGATCAAAGGGCATCGCTACTAAGTAAGGAGCAGGGGCTCCTGGCATCGCTACTAGGAACAAGAAGCTACTAGGGGCTCCTGGCATCGCTACTAGGAGCAAGGACGCTACTAAGGGCTCCTGGCCTTACTACTAGGAACAAGAAGCACTAGTAACAAAGCGCATCGCTGAGAACTCTCCCCTGCGCTACAGATCTGAGTGGGTCACATCACATGCCACAGCAGGTGCCTGTGCTGGCACTGGCACATCCTCACAGGGGCATTTAGGAACTGTTCGATTGAAGAGAGGACAAGCGAAACAAAAAGCACTGACCACAAAAGCGATTCACTCCCAGACCTCAAGCAGAATGTCTCCAACTGATGAAAGTGTAAATTCAGCCTCCCCAACACTCTCACAATGTGAGAAACCCTCACACCAATGGGCTCGGGCTCGGTCCTCTTCATCATCCGAGAGGATCTCCATGTTGAGCGGGTTTATGTCTTTCGCAAGGATTTCTCCAAAACTGAGAGGAGAGTCACAACTCATCTCACTACCCAAGCTGCTAAATTGAAACGCATGTCCCTGAAACTCTTGTGCAAAGAGCCTGTCTTGCCAGCCATGCTACCAATTTCTATGCAATTTGTTTCCTCGGTTTGTTGTTCGTCCACTACTTGGGTCTAAAGCTCTTTCTGCAGCAAAACACTTCAGGTTGGCACCAAAAAAGTTTTTCGTTTTGCTTTTTATCATTTCGGCTCAAGAATCCTTGAACTGAGACATGCGCACTTCCAAAGCACTTGCCCCCTTCCAAACTACAACAAACGCAACTTGGCTCCAAAACTTCTGAAAACCAGGCTCTGGCCACTCCAAGAACCTGCAGAGCAAAAAGTTCATGACAAGTCTCAAGTTGGCACAAAAGACCTGGTCAGACCCACCTAAATAAAGGTAACACACTCAGAAGCTATCAAACCTATGAATCTACATCATTTTCCAGGCGCCCCGGCGAGCTCTGGAAGCAATACCTCGCTGGGAAATAGACCATAAGCAGAGAGGGCCTCCAGAACTCCTGGTGTACTACAGGACCCAATTAACAAGGTGAATTGATAAGCACATATTCCAAGCGGCCTGAGAATCTCCATCTGAAAGAACAATGAACATTTGATCACCAACGAGGCTCATTCGGGGGGCACATGATGAGGATGTACAAAGTTGAGGCACCTTGGCGAAGAATGAACTCCAACAATTCTTTGGATTTGTTGTCGCCGAGAATCTTTCACAACTGGACTAAGGTCCAAGCCAGCAACGAGGTCCAAGCCTTTGAACCCAGGCCTATCAATGATCTGGTAGGGAAACAATTCTAGCAGCAACAGCACATACAGTTCAACTACATTTGAAGTTTCTTTATGCTGGAATTGAACATGAAGGTTGATTGGAACGCACATGCCTCCCAGCACGCAAGGCTCCGGCCACTGCCGCTGCGCTAGCAAAGATAGCTAACAATGAGTCCTGAAAGGACCATGATCGACCAAATATGAGGGTGCAAAACGCTGCAAGTGAATGGGATCAATATCCAATTCCGTCTGCGGTCCAGTACAGCAGCCCGCCCATAGCTACTTGGTAAACGACGCCGAACCATGTTCGACGGCTTATTTATATTTTTGACGAATTCAAAAAAACATTCAGTGCGACTGGGCATCGCAATGATACAAAATTTGCCACCCAAGCATTGTCAAGCATGAACGGCATGTCATCATCGTGGATTGATGTTCTCTTCAACTGCTAAGCTCAGCCTGCCCTGGCCCTCGAAAAACCACTGGCTGCGTTCCAACACGAAACATGGTCACAGCTGTTGTATATCTCCTTCGTCCGTTGCATCGCGGTGGCCGTGCTTCTGGTTGCAACAACAACAAAATGGTCATCTGTTCTTCCAAATCCGTCAAGAAAACTGGGAAAAAAAATGGGTGAGAGATCAAAAAATATTTACCGCTTCAATAAAAAAATATTCTACACGCATCAATAAAAAAACAAATACTGACTCAAAAAAAACATTCCAAATTGCAGTAGCAGTAAGAGCAGCAACAGTGCAATAATAGCAGCAGTGTCGCAGTGGCAGTGAAAACAAGTGGAGCCGTCTTTTCCAGCTCAGCTTGGGCCTTCGTCGACGAGTGAAAACCTGGTGAACCTGCTGTGTGCTCCTGACATTGAACTTCCTGGCGAATCTAACACGGCCCCCATGGCTGGTGGCACACAGCAAGCACACGGTTTCAGCCACTTCACATTGGATGCTCTCACAATGTGGCTACACTCAGGAGTGTGGTAGCATGATCCTGTGCGGGTGATCAGCCACTCCTTCCCTTCCAAGGTGAAATGGGCTGCGCTTCGGCCAGTTTGGCCTTGGCTTCCCCTTCAACCTCACTCACTCTCTTCTTCCACAGCTCAGTCACCTCCCAGGCTCGTGCACAATCTTCAGCCAGTCGCTCCATTTCTTGAGCACGTTCATCATCAATGCCACTGAGCCTGAACCTTTCTCGCAGCATTGTCCCTCTTTTTTGCACGGGTGGAGACGCCATGTGTGCAGAGATTGCACAGGTCATCTTGTGCTAGTTAAGAGAGAGTTACGAGCCAGGATGCGAAACCGAAGAAAACCACCAGCAAAACACCAAAACCAAACAACAAACAAAACAACCAACCCAACCCAAACAGACCACGAAGCAAACTGGCATGTAACTCAAGGAGGTCTCGTAGACCAGAAAAGAGTGAAGGGTGAAACATGGGGCTCCGAATTAAGCAAAGGCCTCTCAGTACTGCTGGACAGTGCAAGCTTTGTCTATCTTCATTCAACGTCCTTCCTTCAACGCTGCAAAGCGTCCTGAGATCAGAACGCTGTGCAGGCTATTGCACTTAGAGAGCATCGAAAGCAACGCTTACGACGTTGCGCAGTCAAACGAGCAGGCATTATTATTACGGTGCCGAGTCAACCTTTTCCTCTGCAGAATTGGACAGGCATATGGGGAAAAAACACTGTGAATTGTTCCCGATTGCTCCAAGCCTTCGGACAACAGGATTCAGCAGCGCAGCCTGTGATTGATAGAAATCTCTTTTGGGAAAGCGATTGCATACTGCAGGTAGCCACCCCTCCCCGGGCGGGGAGGAGGGCAGTGGACACACTCTACTTGCGTCGGTGGCTCCCGAACACCTTGGCCAAGGGAGAACACAGAAAGGCAAGTGGAAGCCATCTAGCTTGCGCTCAGTGTGTAGATGGTTGATGGATGTAACGTGCAATGCCCCACAACTATTGTGAAACAAGGTGAAACCGTCGTTACCCTACGCCTTAGTCACCAAAATAAAAATCTGTACACTTTGTACTCATCCAGGACCGACACTGAGATGCCCGCCTGGGATCTGCCTAACTAGTTTGTCCCTTTTGTACAATGCGTTTCGAAGGCAGCAGGAAAGCCTGTCCGGCAGGACCGACACTGAGGTGCCAGCCTGCGGCTGGCTAGCTGGCATAGTGTTAGTGCTTGTTTCTACGTGACTCCTCATCAAAGTCGGCTGAACTGAATGTCTGACTGCCTTCTCCATCTGGCGGGAGAAGGTTGAGCCACTCAGGCATGTGAAACTTGGCACAAGTCGAAGGGGTTGCTTTCGGCATAGGGTCCTCGCCACGTGGCTTTCTCTTCCATTTTGATGAGCTGAATGAGTTGTTCGCAATCGAAGAATGCTCGGTGAGCAATATATAGCAGAGCCGGTGGGGTGCGCACTTCTTGGAGCGAGGAGCAAAGCAAAAAGGCTTCTTTGCCAATGCGTCTTAGCTTCCGCAGGAACCAGATCTGTACCAGGTTCACACAGTGCGAGAAGGTAGAGCCCCATATGGCAGTGATATCGGTACCAGTCAAATCAACCAAACGTAGCCGCTTGCAGTTCTCACATGCAATAGGTCCTACGATGTTGAAATCTGCAGGTAGCTTCAGTTGTTCAATTCCTGACCCACAGAAGCTTCCCTCTGGTATGTAACGCGCAACTACCGAGGCTTGAGCCCCTGCCTGCTCAAAATTGACCTGCGAGAGTGCAAGGCAACTCTCAAAGGCGTATGGAGAGATTTGGGCTTGTGGAGCAAGCAGATTGGCCGCGTTCTCAGTGGTTCCTTTATGGTACAAGGAGCAACATTCTGCAAAAACCCTACGTCCAAATCGCATGCACCCAGGGACCAGGACGTCCGTGAGCGCATAGCACCCTTGAAAAACACCATCCTGGAGACAAACTACAGAGGAGGGCAGCCTGACAATTTGCAACTGTTGACAGCTCTCCTGTTTCAACTAATACGTGTCTCAAATCTGGGACGTGAGAGAAGGCATTGGGCAAGACAAAACCAGTGTCCTCCGCTGGAACGCAAATGGCCTTAGCTCTTTGTCGTAGTTGTCCTTTATGCTCTGCGCTGACAAAGCACTGTCGAACCACTAGACTGAAGCAGTTGCATTCTTGCAGATGTCCCAGATGGGGTCGCCAAAAATTACTTGGGTGTTCAAGTTGACAAATTCCAGCTCACACCCGAATGTGCTAATTGTATTAATTGCTGACAGGCACTCAAGCACAGAGTTCTCAAACTCGTCAAGTCGATCAAATTCCCGTAGTTCGATTGGCAGTTTGAATTTCCTCGCCGGCTAGGGTAACCAGCGTAAGCTGGTAAGTGGTTGACTGTTCTGCCCTGGCCGGTGTGCTGACTTGCGAGGGACCTCCGGTAGCCATCATGAAGTGTCGCAAATGACTATTGACATGCATGCGCAGCTTGAGCCAAGGCACCTTGGCGCTGCAACCTCAATGTCATTACCTGCTATGGTGGTGAGGGTGAGATAGTATAGGTCATTCTCTGCCTCACCATTTCCAGGGCTGCAGCATTGCAGGCTGCTATCCTCCATCGGTTACTGCTGAAGAGAAAACCACCCCACTATAATCTCCTCCCTCCTGGTCACTGAGACGCAGGCTGCGCATGTTTGTGCATGTTTGAGCCGAGAGTGTCAAGCAAACACGGCCCACTGGGCATCTGTCGACAACCCTGTCTCCGCCTGGGTTGGGAGAGGCGCAAAATTGGCGGGGAAGGGGATGAAAGCAACTTCCCATGACCGTGGGCTACTCTGCCTAGCTGCTTTGTCTCGATGTCTGGTGCATCACGCCGGGTTTTCCTTCTGGCCTGGGGGACGAACTCCAATAATACAACCAACATCGCACACACTTCTGTAGCTTCTTCCAGCACAATTCGGTACACTTTGCCAACCTGGCAACCTATATGGATTTTCAATCAGCTGGCCAAACTCCATCACCTGCAGCGACGGATGACAAAATGCCGCTGCGTTGGACCATGCAGGGAAAGCTATGTGGTATTCACGCATTCCTCGAAGCCCCTTGGCTAGCGGGGCCACCTGAACCTCATAGTCATTGCGCTGAATCGCTGGACTGGCCCACAGGCGACTGGCAGGCTTGGCCCCTTCAGCAAACGTGAGTTGAGGCAGGAAAAGAGCCAGGATGACAAAGACTTCCCGAAATGGGACAGGAGCTAGGAGGGCACGAATCATTTCCGTGAGCCATGTTGCACGTTCGTCCTCCTCTTCTCCACCGACTCGAAAATTTCGTAAAAGGAGGGCTTGAGCTTCTTCACTCGATGTAATGCCCTGATCAGGGACACATTTCTCCAATAGAGCAAGCAACAACAAGGGTGCAGTTGAATCTTTTTTTTGCACGAGTCGAGGCGCTGTGTGTGCAGGAGATGCACAAGTCACCTTAGGCTAGTAAAAGAGTGAGATACGAACCAAGCAGCAAGTCAAAACCAGACCAGCAAACCCCAAAACAACAAACAACCCCACCAAGGCCGCAGGCAAGGTTCGTACCTCAGGATGGCTGAGTCAGCCAAAAGAAGCGGTGAAACAGTGTGAAACCAGGGGCATGAATTCATCCTTTGCGCTCAGTACGTCGTCTTAGGGTTCATGGCTGCTTTCTTACCATCGAGGTATGATCACTTCCCCTCGGCTGACAAGATCAGCTGCATTCTGCGTGCGGTGAGCTATGAAGCCGACGCACCCTGCTTCAAATGGGGGGCTTTGTTGCACAGTCAGAGCGACTGTAAGACTAAGGTTGCAGGAAAACAGCCGTATCAGCAATCGATAACTGCAAATCGTCGAAAGGATGAGACAGCGGAGCCATGTAGTCGAGAAAATGGAGGTGCTAGCAAGCATGGTTCTGGCAGGCCCGAAACCCCCCCCCCCAGAGGGAGGGGGAGCAACAAGAATGCCCATCCACGATG